CATTAAAATTTTCTGTATAACAAATGATATAAAAGTAAATGAACTTTAGTTGTTAATAAATCAAGTCAAAATTTATTAGAAAAATATTTAATAAACATGTTTATTGACTAAAAAAAAATTTAATAAACATTATTTGTGACTAAATAATTTATTTAACTAACACTACGAATTACACTTTATCAACATTAAAATGATTTTGTAAATTATTGCACTGAGTCCATAACAATAAAGTGAAATAAAATTATATGAGGAACATAATACAATAAATTAGTCAAGAAAACGGCCATTTTCCTATTAAATTATAAAAAAAAATTGTAGATAAAAGTGCCAATTTAACTCGGTGGCGCTTGTTGAACGACATTGGTGCTAGCTTGAGGTTGACCATTATTTGTAACAGTAAGACTAGGACCATTTTGACGTTTCCTCTTATCTTTACCGAATAAAAATTTGAAGAGGTCAAAGTGAATGTGATCTTGAAATGGTTTAGTACCACCACAGCCATCAAAGCATAATTCATCCGTCAAGTTATAGGCAACATTGCCATCACAATCTTCGAGAATGAGACCATAACAATTTTTTTCTGGATCATCAAAACCTTTTGAGAAAAGGCCATCGACAAAGGTTCTATCACTATGATTGTCTTGGACTAAAGTAACAAGACCGGTTACACCATTGTCATCGTCAAATTCTGCAGTTGCAACGACATAATCATAACATGTTTTCTCATCTTTCTCATCACCACGTTTAAGCAAAGAATTTTGAGGAATTCTTGCAGAAGTCGACTCTTTAATGGTAATAAAGAATAAAGTCAATGCAAGAAAGAAGTATGCAATTTTCATATTCATTTTTCTTTATTTTTTGTTTTTAAAGGAGTTTAGAGAGTTTTCTTAACGGTAACGATTCAAATTTTAATTTAGATCAAAGCAAATTTTGATGAGGAAAATGAAAAGAAAAAAGCTTCTGTTTATATAAAAAATTTCTCCATACGTTGTATTACGAAGAAAAAAATAATAATTCCAAAAAAAAAAAGAGATTTCCCGAGCAAAGAAGAGGATCATGAACGACACATATTTGCGAAGAAGGATGATTCAATAGTAACATCATTTTTCATATTATTAAATAAAGGATCTATTTCTGTCTACTTCTATTTTGTTTATTCTATTTTAAGCTTTAGTTTTAATTAAAATATTAATTAAAGAGCAACATTTTTATTGCTTAAATACGCGAACATTTCTGACTAATTTTAGAACTTGAAATATTTTTGTTTTTTAGTAATAATATAACAAAAAAGTAGTCGGAAAATGAATCAATAAATTCTTATTTGAGTAACGGCAAGACATAATTAGCATGAAATTAATGCGTGCTACAATTATTAGGTATTTGTTCAATTAAAATATTAACTTAAATAGTAATTTAAATAGTAACGGTAATTCAAAGTCACGAAACAAAATAACCATTATTTTGTCATACCTAACTACATCATAATCATAATTCCTAATTTTGACAACTTAATAATCATTGCTTTTTGTAATCCAAAACAACATCGAAAAAAAGTTAAATTTTATATTATGGAAATTATGATTTTGAGATGGGGAGTAAGTTTATACGAAATTACACATTTACTAAGTTTTTACCGCCTATGTTGCAATACGTACCTTAAAAAATTGTCCATTTAATTGGTGTGTGGTGCACTAAGTAAAAATATTCCATGCCCTTAAAACCTTCCCAAACCTTAATTCTGATCCTAAACACGTACTAAACCCAACATGAGAATTTTGTGCTAAATTTTATATACAAAACTTAGAAAAATTTAATGGTGCAAAACCACCATAGATGCGGTTTTTTGGTTACACGATGATCCGACGATGATAACCCCGGATAGATTATTGGCTATACCCGGATGAAATTATTATCCAAGAACTTTTAAATATTAGTCAATACACACCAAAGACGCATATGATGACTACTTTAATTTAGATTTTATATGTATATATAATTTTTTCGCAATAAAATACATATAAATGTTACAGATATCGTGTATACAACACTATCACTATTATCACTTATTGTATTATGACATCGTATTCATAAATATGTTTATACGTACATTATACAATAAAGATCATAAAGTATGGCTAATTTTGCTGGCTGGTTTTGCCTTTAACGACCGGTGGCCTTGGGCCCAATATACGCCATATGTCATTGTCTGTTATTAAGCGTACTACATACATACAGTACTAATTGTGTACGTAAACAAATACACAAGCTTGAAATACATTGAATATTTCTAGGATCCCAGTATTTTGAGGCGAATATAAAATTTTAAATACCGTAAAACTAAAAAAATTTGTAACAAACCCCTACCCTCCTTTTTCTATCTCAGATTAGTAGAATAGTAACAATCAATAAAATCTTTGCACAAATTATTCCCAATAATCTGATTGAAAAAAGTAGGGTTAGGGTTAGTGTTAAAAATTCCGCACAAATATGCTGTACAAAAAAAAATTCTTTTTTTTATACAACACATACATAATGAATTTTTAAAACTGGGTAGAGGGTGTTGTGCTTATATTCTGAGGTTTACTGTATCAGGTATAATTTAGAGTCACTTAAAAATTTTACAATAATTAAAGGAATGGTCCACCATTTATGGTATATACAATTGCCTCTGAATAAATCATAAAAATGGCACATAGGTACTTTTATTTCTCTAACATTTAATGCTTTTTGTATGATACGTAAAAGTTCTAAACAATAAAGTAATAAAACTCACGATGAAATTATTTAGTCTTACTTATAACATGATAGCACAATGCCTATTTTTAATATCCCTTTATGCTCTTATAACATCGACGAATTCACAGATTACTTCTTTTAACTATACAGAAACAGATTTACCATCTTTAGCAATTGGTCATCAACCTTTTGTAGTAAATCTTCAAACTTATGATGATGGAACTATTCTCGCCCTTATTACACGATACGACAAAACACAAAACGCAAATTGTTCGAGTTATTTGAAACCAAATCCTGCTCTTGGACTAGAACAGATATTACGTATAAGAATTATTCAATTAGATGGATCTGTTAAAGAGATTAATCTCAACAATGCCGACTTAAAATTAGATCCTCTGAATTATTGTTTAAGAGGCGCCAAATTTGCTATTCAAACATATACTTTACAAAAACCGTTCATCCTGGTAACTTATGTGAATAGTACAAATTCATATGATCCTACAACTTATGAAGAATGGGGAATGGTTATTGATTGGAACGGCAATATTCTAAGGTGTGACTGTGATTAACTTGTAAATTTATATTTATTTTGAAGATTATTAATATTAATCTATTATTTTAGTAAAACTCCTTTTGGTCCGTCTTTTGTTCAAAATAATCAGTGGAATCCACAAAGTACAATTAAATTAAACGTAAACAAAAAATTGGGATTTCTTAGAGTAGACATAGTAAACAATAATAATTTATTTACGTATGAATGGCAACAATATTCAATGTAATTTAATCTTCTTAACAATCATTGTTTCAACGTTGTTTTAATTTATTTATGATGATAACTATAGTAATAATTTTTCTTTGTAATTGTATAGTGATAATTCTGGAAAGTTATCATTGCTTCAATATTCTGGTTTTCCACTAGATCAAATTAAAGGTGGAAACCTTGCAAGCTTTACTGTAACGCCAATGGCCACTATTGATGGTGGTTATGCTTTAATCTATGCTAATGCTACCAGTGTAATCGATAACAGCAATTTACTCTCCATACGTGGCTCGATATACGCTAACTTCATAACATATGACAATACACTTCAAGATAGAACAATTCTTCTCTATACATTTTCCAATAATGTAACCTTTAATGGAATTTTTTGTGACATAGTATCTGTTGGTGCTGGTCAAGTTTGCACACTCTCTATCAATAGCACCATAGCAAATAACATCACAACACAATATATAAGAATATACTTCTTAACGTCTGGATCAGTGTTAAACGTATATGTATTATCCGACCTCGACATCCCTAATATCACTTCTATAACCTCAAACAATTGGGTGGTGAACTCGATGCCATACGGTGGTTACATATTACATAATTTTGATATCAATGGTACTACATATATCTTTGCTTATGACGAATATAACATACAAACGCCTTTGGTATCAACATTGTCGTCAAACCAAACTGTTCCTATAAATAATTTTTCTACTACACATTATGTATTTGGTGCAAATGTTATCATGAATAATAATACTTTTCTGCTCCCAACACTCAACACAAATAAGGACCAAACTTCTTGGTCTTTTATTAATATCCCACTGCCTAAAGTTTTAGAATATCGTGGTATTTATATTATTACATAAAATTTGTTTTTCTTTCTTTATAAAATATTTAATATAAATGTAAAATGTTAATAACTTTTATCTATTTAGATCACGGTTACGGTAATCTTGAGATAGACCAAGTTAGCCCATCTGTTAACAGTAGTGTCGATTCGTCTCTTACAAATTTAAATATATCTTTCTTTGATCCTATCGTTTTGTCCACCGATCCGATACCTGGTTCTTTGACCATTTACAAAGCTTCTGATAACACCATCAGGCAAAAAATTTCACCGTTAATGTCGGAATTTTGTTCAACCAGTCCGGATGGGAAAACTATTACTATAAATTTTATTAGTAGTACATTTAATGAGTATAATGAGAATTATTATGTGCAAATGGATAATAATTTTGTTAAGAGTAGTGTTTATAATGAGCCTCTACAAGGGATTAGTGATGGGATTTGGAATCTCACTTCAAGTAATATTTATTGCGTTATCTGGTTTTAATTTTCAATATACTGTTTCTTATTTTGATTATTTTTAACCAATCTAGATAATATGAACAATTTAATTAATTCTTCAGGTATTATCTTTTATTCACATCGATCTACATGAATACGTATCTTAAAAAACTACTTTATCTACATTATTTTAGACATTGCCATCGTTGGTACGGTCGGCTTAACAAAAGATGCCATGAAAAATTTCTTATCATTCTCTAAATCGGATCGATCCAATTATTTTGCGCAATTGTTAAATGAAGTTGCTGAGAAAATACCAGTTCGACGTGAACGTCTAACCACAAATGAAAAATTTCAGCATATTAATCACGGCCAACAAATAATTTTTTCTATTAAAGTAGATTTACCATCATCTGATTCAAATGAAAACACTGCTGATAGTGTGGTATCAGATCTAAACACTATGCTTATATATAAGCAAGCCACAACCTTTCTTAATGGTATTACAAATGATTTGGATAATATTTATGGTTTTGTTATAATGGGTAAGTTTAATTTTTTTTTTTAAAAAAAAAAAAAAAATTTTATTAACTCTTATAATGTATTTTAGGGGATTTTTGGGCCGATAACGCAACCTTAATTGCTGTATCAATCTTAATTCTTGTAGTAATCATGTTTCTATACATGTATTCATTCAGATCTCGTTTCGGTCTCGATCACCAGATTATTGAAATAGTTCATATATACACAAGTTATGCAATCATTGCCATCAATTTCTTTTTTTTGACTTATTTTGTTTTTATCGATTCTAAAGACAAACCAGAGCTTTTTTTGCCAAGGTATTTTCATATTTATTTGCATATTTTTAATTATTATCGAATTTATTTATTTATTTGTTTATTATTATTATTATTATTATTTAGCGTAATTTTATGGATCATTCAAATAAGCATAAACGTAATTATGGCTTTCGTCGTTTTTTATCCATATTGCTAGACCAACAAAAGAACAGGAAGAGAAAATGGTCGAGGAAATTGTTGGTGACGCAAAGAAGAATCTTATCGGTAAAATAGATAAAAAGGTCGAAGAATTTAGTGATGATATAAAGAATGAAATTATCTATGAAAAAGATAAACTGCTCGAGAATATTAAAGATGACAGAAAGAAGAAAATTATGGATAAAATATTCAAGAAAGTTGCTGATTTCATAAAGAATAAAATTATCAATGAAAAAAATAAAATTCTCGAGAAAGTTGGTGAAGTTGACATATTAAAGGAATTTTGTGGTCACATGTTCAAAGCGTTTAGTGACATAAAGAAAAATATTGATGGTAACAAAGAGAAAAAGTTTAAGGGAGTTGTTGGTGACATAAAGACAGAGCTTGAGGAAACTGTTGTTATCATAAAAGCAAAGCTTAAGAAAGTCGCAAAAAAGGTTCTTGATAAAATAGTCAAGGAAGTTAATGGTGAAATAAAGAGCAATATCGTTGAAATGCTCAAGGAGGAAATTATCGATAAACTAGTCAAGAAATTTGTTAATAAAATAGAGAAGAAAATTATCGATAAAAAAGAAGAATTGCTCAATAATTTTAATAATGACGCAGCGAAAAAAATTATCGATGAAAGATTCAAGAAAATCAGTGATGGCATAAGAAATAAAATTATCAATGAAGCAGATAAAATGCTTACGAAAGTGCTCGAAAAAGTTGATAGTGACATGTTCAAAGCAATTGGTGACATGTTCAAGAATGTTGGTTACAAGTCCAAGAAATATATTGACATCAAGTCCAAGAAAGATATTGACATCAAGTCCGAGAAAGATATTGACATAAAGAAAAAGATTAGCGAATTTCTCAAGGAAGACATAAAGGAAAAATTTAGTAAAATTCTAGAGGAAGTTGTTGGTGATTCAAAGAAAATAGTCGAGGAAATTGGTGACGAAACAAAGAAAATTATCGACGAGAAGGAAATTATCAAAGAAATTTATGGTGAAACAGAGAACATTATCGATGAGATGCTCAATGGAATACTCGAGAAGGAGATTTTTGAGGAAAAAAATAGAATACTTATGGAAGTTAGCGATTGCATAAAGACAATTATCGATGAAAAGCTCAAGGGAGTTGGTGATGACACGAAGAAAATTATCGATGACATTCTCGAGAAGGTTGGTGGTGACATAAAGAAAACTATCGATACAATGTTCGAAAAGAAAATTATCGGTATAAAAGTTAAAACCATCTATGAATTTTTTGATGAAGTATACAAAAAAATTTTTCGCAGTACAAATGAAGAAAACGGGGAAAAAAATGAAGTTGCAGATGATACAGACAATTATCCCAGACCATTTTCGATTGTAAGCTTAATAAGAATTCCTGATGAAAATGATTCTGATGAAAAGGATTCTGATGAAAAGGTTTCTGATGAAAAGGTTTCTGGCCAACTTTCGTACGATGATACGAATGAAAAAAAAAATAAATTTGGTGAATACATAAATGAACGAGTTGTTAAGATCCTAGAAGACATAGAAAACACCCTTGACAGAGTGGATTCTAACCAACCTTTAAACGATGATACGAGTGTTGAACAAGTTAAGATCCTAGAAGACACTCATGATAAAAAGGTTTCTAATAAAATTAATTCTAACCAACTTTCAGACGAAGATATGAACGAAGACAAGATAATCAAAAAGGTTTTTGTATGTTATATTCGTCATAAGCAAAGATATATGTAGTACCATTGATATCAAAATTATGTAAT